GCTTGGCAACAGTAGAAATAAAGGAAAAATAGTTGTTTGATGATGGGATGGTGAGTGGCCCATACTGGACCCTATTGATAGGCAATATAGGTGAGAAGATGGGGCAGATGAGGAGAAGATGGGACAATGCTGACAGGGGATAGGGAAAAGGCAGAACTACTTAATGCCTTCTTTGCCTCGGTCTTCTCACAAAAAGAAGGTCATCTTCAACCTCAGCAAGATGGAGTGGATAAGGGATTGGAGGATCTCCAACCCCAAATTGGGAAACAAGTCATCCAGGAATACCTGGTCGCTCTAAATGAGTTCAAGTCCCCAGGGCCAGATCAACTACACCCAAGAGTATTGAAGGAACTACCGGAAGTCATTTCGGAACCATTGGCAACCATCTTTGAGAGTTCTCAGAGAACGGGAGAAGTTCCAGCAGATTGGAGGAGGGCCAGTGTGGTCCCAATCTTCAAGAAGGGACAAAAGGATGACCCAAACAATTACCGTCCAGTCAGTCTCACATTGACACCAGGCAAGATTCTGGAAAAAATTGTTAAGGAAGTGGTCTGCAAACACTTAGAAACAAATGCGGTCATCGCTAATATTCTGCTTCCTTGGAGTCTAGGACGCGGAACAATGGCTTCAAACTACAAGAGAGGAGATTCCATCTGAGCATGAGGAAGAACTTCCAGACTGTGAGAGCTGTTCAGCAGTGGAACTCTCTGCCCCGGAGTGCGGTGGAGGCTCCTTCTTTGGAAGCTTTTAAACAGAGGCTGGATGGCCATCTGTCAGGGGTGATTTGAATGCAATATTCCTGCTTCTTGGCAGAATGGGGTTGGACTGGATGGCCCAGGAGGTCTCTTCCAACTCTTTGATTCTATGATTCTATGCTGTGAGCCCTCAAGCCCGACCTAGCTATTGACACAGAGGTTTGAAACAACATTTCTGTCTGGCCCCTCAGAGCCAGCCCATTGTCCAAAAAAGTGCAGTGATACTGGTTTCTGGATGGGATCTGTGGATCCATTCTTCTGGGAAAGGGAAAGTCATTGTTGGCGAAACTGCAACATCCCCTTCTCCTCCTCGTGGGTGGGGAAATGTCCTTTGTGAAGAAATATTAAAGTGTCCAAAGGGTTACCCAATTCTTAAGTGGCCTGATCCTCCACGGATTAAGAAAAAGGGGCCATCAAGCCATCAAGCCATTGTCTGTATTGTGAAATGCTTGAGAGTTCATTCAACAAAGTGAAGACCCAGAGTGGCCTGTGGCACCTGGGTCAGGAAATGCTGGCCAGAGTTCATAAAAAGGTCACCTTGCCTCATGTTTTGCACAGAAACACATATAAATCATACAAAAATCATATACATTTACTTATTTATTTATTTATTTAGAGGATTTCTATACCGGCCTTCTCAACCTCAGCAAGGGACTCAGGTCGGTTTACAGCATATATAAAATACAATCATATATAAGAACAACAAGTGCAAAGTCATTACATATTAAAATAGTACAATACAGTACAATAGAACATCATCATCACAATTCCCTAAGCCAAATCGTCAATCCAGTCATGGTCATAGTCATACTCGTAGTCACAGTTCATCATAATTCATCACAGGGAGGGGGTTCTAGGTTCAGTCCTCAAATGCCACCTTCCAGAGCCAGGTTTTTAGTAATTTCCTGAACGTCAGGAGGGAGGGGGGCAGATCTGACCTCTAGTGGGAGGGAGTTCCAAAGCCAGGGAGCCACCACCGAGAAGGCCCTGTCTCTTGTCCCCACCAACCACGATTGCGAGGGTGGTGGGACCGAGAGCAGGGCCCCCCCGGAAGATCTTAATAGCCTTGATGGTTCATAGGGGAGAATCCGTTCGGACAGGTAAACTGGGCCAGAGCCGTTTAGGGCTTTATAGGTCAGAACCAGCACTTTGAATTGTGCACGGAAGCTGATCGGCAGCCAGTGGAGCTGGCGTAACAGAGGGGTCGTATGGTCTCTGTACCCCGCTCCTGTTAGCAATCTGGCTGCCGCACGTTGGACTGATTGAAGCTTCCGGGCAGTCTTCAGGGGCAACCCCATGTACAGAGCGTTGCAGTAGTCTAAACGGGATCTAACCAGAGTGTGGACTACCGTGGCCAAGTCAAACTTCCCAAGGTACGGGCGCAGCTGGCGCACAAGTTTTAATTGTGCAAAAGCTCCCCTGACCACCACCGAGACCTGGGGTACTTACTTCTTAGGCAATCCCTTGTTGTCTGAGTAGGATAATCTTCTAAGATAGGTCTCCTGGCAATGGCTCCATGGGTGACTGTGGAGCCCTGTTCTTGACCTGCATGTTCTCCCGCAGTGAGGGCATCGGTTTCCAGGTGGAAGGTGATCCCGGTCAGAGTTAGCTTGACATGTCTTCCGCTTGGCATGTTTCTCTCTTTCGCCCTCCATTCGTGCCTCTTCAAATTCTGCCCTGCCTTTTCCAGAGGCAGGGCAGCTTCCTTGTAGATTTCCCCCAAGGAGAGGAGAAGGGGGCAAAGGGTTCAGGGCAAGGTCAGGAAACATGAGGGGAAATATAGAAATGCAGGAGAAAATATGAAAATATAGAAATCATAATACAGAGAGTAAATCCAACTACCTTCCCCCAGTGTCCATAAAGGGAAATATATCCCCGAGGGGGAAAGAGAGTCCCTTGTTTGTGAGGTGGGGGACCATCAGGAGCCCAGGTGTGTCTCAGATGGAAAAAGTCAAATACTTTTGTGGCATGATGTTCAGTAATAAATTGGTTACTTTCTGCTGTAAACATATGAAAATAGAGCATAAAGCCTTGATTAAATGATACACACCAAGTTGACCAAGGCTTAACCCTTATTATCCAGCCTGGCGTCCTTGCCCTTAGCAAAACTATAAGTTACTATCTCTTGTCAGAATTTTATATTTGAGAACAAGCCCTATGAGGAGCGGCTTAAGGAGCTGGGCATGTTTAGCCTGAGGAAGAGAAGGCTGAGAGGAGACATCATAACAATGTATAAATATGTGAGGGGAAGTCATAGGGAAAAGGGAGCAAGCTTCCTTTCTGCTGCCCTGGAGACTAGGACGCAAGGGAGCAGTGGCTTCAAACTACAAGAGAGGAGATTCCATCTGAACATGAGGAAGAACTTCCTGACTGTGAGAGCCGTTCAGCAGTGGAACTCTCTGCCCCGGAGTGTGGTGGAGGCTCCTTCTTTGGAAGCTTTTAAGCAGAGGCTGGATGGCCATCTGTCAGGGGTGATTTGAATGCAATATTCCTGCTTTTTGGCAGAATGGGGTTGGACTGGATGATTGCCAATGAGGTCTCTTCCAACTCTTTAATTCTTTGATTCTATGATTCTAATTGAGTCATTTCTTAAGTGAAAAAGTGAGTACGTATTTGTAATGTCCAAGCATTGTATGAAGAGCAACTGTTAAGCCACCTGTGATAGATTAGATGCTACAAATTGGGACTAAGCACTGTGTGTTGTAGAGAAGAGACTGAGAATGTAGAGAGTATTGAGAAGAGATCGAGTAGATTGTAGGTTTTCCGGGCTATATGGCCATGTTCTGGAGGCAATTTTTCTCCTGACGTTTCGCCTGCATCTATGGCAAGCATCCTCAGAGGTAGTGAGGTCTGTTGGAACTGGGGAAAATGGGTTTATATATCTGTGGAATGACCAGGGTGAGACAAAGGACTTTTGTCTGCTGGGGCTAGCTGTGAATGTTTCAGCTGATCACCTTGATTAGCATTCAATGGCTTGGAAGCGCCTGGGGGGAAACTTTTGTTGAGAGTGATTTCATGTGCCTGTTTGTTTCCCCTCTGTTGTTTTGCTGCTGTAATTTTTGAGTTTTTTAATACTGGTAGCCAGATTTTGTTCATTTTCAGAAGTGCTGGACCATTCTCACAACCACCATGTCAGACTACACAGGGAAGCCATTGAAATCCACAAGCATGTGGACAATTTCAACAGAAAGGAAGAAACCATGAAAATGAACAAAATCTGGCTACCAGTATTAAAAAACTCCAAAATTACAACAGCACAGTAGAGTCTCAGAAACAGCCTATAGCAGTGTTTCTCAACCTGGGGGTCGGGACCCCCGGAGGGGTCGTGAAGGGGTGTCAGAGGGGTTGCCAAAGACCATCAGAAAACACAGTATTTTCTGTTGGTCATGGGGGTCTCTGTGTGGGAAGTTGTTGGGGTTCAGAACGCTCCTTGATTGTAGGTGAACTATAAATCCCAGCAAGTACAACTCCCAAATCTCAAGGTCTATTTTCCCAAAACCCCACGAGTGTTCACATTTGAACACATTGAGTATTTGTGCCAAGTTTGGTCCAGACCCATCATTGTTGGAGTCTAGAGTGCTCTCTGGATATAGGTGAACTTCAACTCCCAAACTCAAGGTCAATGCCCACCAAACCCTTCCAGTATTTTCTGCTGGTTCAATTCCATTGTTGGTGGGGTTCAGAATGCTCTTTGTTTATAGGTTAGCTATAAATCCCAGCAACTACAACGCCCAAATGGCGAAATCAATCCCCCCCCCCAACCCCACTAGTATTCAAATTTGGGCATACTGGGTACTTGTGCCAAATTTGCTCCAGTGAATGAAAATACATCTTGCAGATCATTATTTACATGGCGATTCATAATGTTAGGGTTATGGTTGGGGGTCACCACAACATGAGGAACTGTATTAGGGGGTCGCGGCATTAGGAAGGTTGAGAAACACTGGCCTATAGGAAACATACTGGTGTGTTCCTATACACAGATTGGAAAGCTCTGCTTCCATAAAGGGAAGTGCAACTCTTTGGAAGTAAGATTGTGGTGTGAGGTCAGTTTGCGGTTACTTTGACAAACAGTGTCAACACTTGGCTGAATCTTTCTAGAGAAAAGTGTGGTCGGTCAAAGCAAAGGGACAAAAAAGTGACCACAAAATGATAAGCAAAGAGATGTGCTTCCTGCTCAAGCATGGGAACTCCCCTCCCTCGGCTAGATTGTATAACTTTGCACGCCTTCTTAGGAGCTGTGTGCATCCTGCAAGGTGTAGTCCAGAGGTCTTTAAAAGGTGCTGCAGAGAAAGCGATAGGCATCGTGCTGGGCTTCCTCGGAGCCTTCCATTTCTAAGATCACATCTTCCGTTTTGGTCTGGTAAGTATTCCTTCTTTCTCCTTTGCTGCTGGATCTTTCTATCGTTCCATCCTGCTTTCTCTGGAAGGTCTTTTCTACTGTAAAGTGGCATGAGGGACAGGGCCAGGCATGTAGCCGGGGGGGGGGGGGGGCTTGAGGGGCTTCAGCCCCCCCCCCCGAAATTCTCATGGTGGTTCGCGAAAAGGTCTTACTGGTGCATTATTTAAACTGTTATGTTTATTCATATCATGATCTGATCACCATACTCAATATATCCCATATGCATGGGGGTATTGGGGTAATGATACAAAAGGTTTGCTAGGCTAGACCCTCTTTTACTCAGACTCAGCCCCCCCCCAACTCAGCCCCCCCAACCCCCCCTGAAAAAAATTTAGCTCCCACCACCTGCACAAGAACGGCTGGTGGGGACGAGGGACAGGGCCTTCTCAGTAGTGGCCCCTCGACTCTGGAACTCTCTCCCACTGGAGATCAGAACTGCCCCCTCCATTCTGTCGTTCAGAAAACGGGTGAAAACCTGGCTATGGGGTTTGGCTTTCGACGAGTGAATCAATATTTCTGTGATCGGATAGATGACGATGAATGATGGACAACGAATTCACTATGACGACTGACCATTGTTATTATGTGATTGCATTTTGCTATTATAACGTTTTAATTGAATATGTCATATGATGTTTTTAATGATTGTTTTGTGATTTTATTGTTGGAAACCGGCCCGAGTCCCCCGATAGAGGGGAGAAGACCGGTATACAAAATTGCTAAATAAATAAATAATAAATAAATGAAGCTCACTGTGTAATGTTTCTTCCATCGAGGTGTTGTAGGTTTTTTTAAACATCAAAGGGATGGATTTATAATTCAGACTCTAGTAATGGGGGAAAGTTTTCCCCTGACATTAAGTCCAGTTGTGTCCAACTCTGGGGGGTTGATGCTCATCTCCATTTCCAAGCTGAAGAGCCGGCGTTGTCCATAGACACCTCCAAGGTCATGTGGCTGGCATGGCTGCATGGAGCGCTGTTACTTTCCTGCAGGAGTGGTACCTATTGATCTGATGGGGAGATATTGGAAAAACAGATATTTATTTATGCATATATTGTATGTACTTTACAAGAACTGAAATGTATAGAAAAATCAGGTTCTCTCTGTGTAAGAAAGCCAGCAGGACAGAGAAGGAATGTTGAAAGGGGGAGAAGAGGGGGACCTGTTATCTATACATTCCAGATACAGAGACTGGTACAACATAGCCCAGGCTAAAGCTAAGTAAGGAGCCTATCCCTCCTCCCTCCTGACAAGTCAAAGTAGGCCCCTTGATTGATGAATGTAAGCTGTAAGTCCAGTTGTGTCCAACTCTGGGGGTTGGTGCGTTGTCCATAGATACCTCCAAGGTCATGTGGCTGGCATGGCTGCATGGAGCGCTGTTACCTTCCTGCAGGAGTGGTACCTATTGATCTACTCACATTTGCATGTTTTCAAACTGCTAGCTTGGCAGATGCTGAGGCTAATAGCGGGAGCTCACCTCGCTCCCCGGATTAGAACCTTCAACCTTTCAGTTAACGAGTTCAGCAGCTCAGCGGTTAACCCACTGCATCACCGGGGGCTCCTAATTCAGACTTTAGGTGGTAGATTAAGTGGTCATTAAGGAAGATGTCATTCTTCTGTATTTGTAGTTGTATTGATTTATTTAACTCTGTTTTTCCTCCCCTAGTTGAAAGACAAGAAGTCCTGTTTGCCAGTTCACCAAGAAGGGCCACCAACATCTCTTGTCTCAAGGTGAGTTTCATCCTATTGGTCATCTATTGGGAGGGCTCGGATTGTGTCTTCCTCATGGCAGGAAGATGGCAGGCTAGATGGCCTTTGTGATCCTTTCCAACTCTATGATTCTGTCATCTCAAAATCCAAAACTCCCACCTCTCTTTAGAAGGTCTCAAGAGCCCAGGAAGTGTGAGGAGCACCTCCAGGGAAGGTGTATCTAATGCCTGTGGTTCTCAACCTTCCTAATGCCGCGACCCCTTGATACAGTTCCTCATGTTGTGGTGACCCCCAACCATAATATTATTTTTGTTGCTATTTCACAATTGTAATTTTGCTGCTGTTATGAATCATGTAAGCATGCAGGATGTATTTTCATTCACTGGACCAAACTTGGCACAAATACCCAATATGCCCAAATTTGAATACTAGTGGGGTTGGGGGGAGGGACTGGTTTTATCATTTGAGAGTTGTTGCTGGGATTTATAGTTCACCTACAATCAAAGAGCATTCTGATCTCCACCAATGATGGAACTGAACCAGTCTTGGCACACAGGACTCGCATGGCCATCAGAAAACACTAGCAGGGTTTGGTGGGCACGGATCTTGAGTTTGGGAGCTGTAGTTCATCTACGTCTGTGGACTCAAACAATGATGGATCAGGACCAAGTTTGGCACAAATACTCAATATGCCCAAATGTGAACACTAGTGAAGTTTGGGGGAAATAGACCTTGGCATTTGGGAGTTGTAGTTGCTGGGATTTATAGTTCACCTACAACCAAAGAGCATTCTGAACCCCACCAACAATAGAATTGGATCTAACTTTCCACACGTAACCCAGATGACCAAGAGTGTTTTCTGATGGTCTTCGGCAAACCCTCGGACACCCTCTCGTGACCCTCCCAGGGGTCCCGACCCCCAGGTTGAGAAACACTGCCTTAGGAAAATGCATCCACCTGAAGAAATGTTTCGTGGCTGTTTAGGACATTTGCAACGATAATCTGAAATATGCCTCCTTGAATCTCACAACCATTGGTCCCTATGCTGTTTCCTTTGCCTTCAAGCCATTTCTGACCCTCAGGTTGAAGTCGAACATGACCCCCCCCCCCACCCTATAAGAGATAGTAACTTATAGTTTTGCTAACGGCAAGGACACCAGGCTGGATAATAAGGGTTAAGCCTTGGTCAATTTGGTGTATATCACTTAATCAAGGCTTTATGCCCTATTTTCATATGTTTACAACAGAAGGTGACCAATTTATTACTGAAAATCATGCCACAAAAGTATTTGAGTGTTTCCATCTGAGACCCACCTGGCCTCCTGATGGTCCCACATCTCACAAACAAGGGACTCTCTTTCCCCCTCAGGGATAGATTTCCCTTTATGGACCTTCCTATGGGGGACAGTGGGGGAGGGTAGTTGGGTTTACTCTATGTATTATGATTTCTATATTTTCATATTTTCTCCTGTATTTCTATATTTCCCTTCATGTATTTGACCTGGCCCTGACCCTTTTGCCCTCTTCCCCTCTACTTGAGGAAAATGAATAAGGAAGTTGCCCTTGCAAAAAGCCATTAGTGATTGTGAAAACCCTTCTCTCAGAACCTTTCTTGCATGGAAATTTAACAAAGAATTATTTTCTTGACTTCAGAGTCAGGCCATCAAGAAGATAATCATTTGGCAGACTTTTTAATCACATTACAATGGGGGGAAACAAGGATCTTCAGGAAATCCTCTTCCCCCAACCTGTTTTCTTTCAAGCCTTTCCATTAAAGACATTCACCAAAGTCTCCCCCTTTTGTGCCCCATCCGACTGAAAGAGGAAAACCTGGATTAAGTGATCAATGCTTATCTCAAACTCATCACAAGACAATAGATTGGCTTTTCTTGAAGGCCGGTTCGGACTCATTAGGCCTCCTGGACATTTCCTGTGACTCCATAATCCATTCAAGAATGCATTGTATTCCCTTGTCCCACCTCCCTCCCTCCTGATTCGTTGACGTGCCAAGGCGGCAGAAACCCTGTAATTGGCCCAGGCACTCGAGGGGCAGACAAGCCTCCTCCCAGTTGTTGAGGTGCCAGCCAATCACCTTCAAGCCAGGCAGGGGGGAGGGGGGAAGATTCAAACCCCACACTCTGTTTTTCTATTAAAATGGCATTTATTTCTGTATATGTATGCTTAGCTTGGCGAATGATTGCTGCTTTGCATCCTTTTCAGCTGAATCACTAATAAATATCTCAGTGGCACTTTCTTCAACTTTGGTGATATTCTTTTTGGGAACTTGGGAAACTTTTTGGGAAAATAAATTGGTCAAAATTAGGCTTCTCTTTGCTCACCAACATAGCGATCCCTCTTTGGTGGGGGGCAGGGTCTCTCCTGCTGGAGTGGACCCTTCTAAAGTTCCTATCAATTTCAAGGTGGCCCTCGGGTGAATCTGTCTCTGGGTTTTCATGGTGGAACTTACTCTGAAAACGTTTGCCAGCATGGCCTTCATCTGAGGAGGTTGAGAGAGAGACACTTGCGCAGGTCACCCCTGTTGGGGTTCAGCCTGATCCTGATCTGTGTGAACCGGATTCTCTGATAGTTTTTCCAACTGAGCAAGCTCTCCCTGACCCTGACAGTGTGGAATCTGTTGTTGATGCAGAGGTCAGCGGGGATGAAAAGGAAACTCAACAGCTGGAGGAAAATGTTTTGGAAGTTAGCCGTGATATCACTAGCCGTGATATCTCTCCACCTGGGGTTTTTAATGAGGACTGAAGAGAACAGATAGTTAGAGACAGAAATGTTTCCCAGTTTCTACGAAGGTCACATCGTTTACAGGAGAGACAGGCCCAGACGTCAAAGTCAAGGGGCGTTTCAAAGAATAGCTTCTTTGGTTTAAGAGGCCTCCTGCCGGGTGCCTCTTTAGGTCAAGCAACGTTTGGGATTGTGGCTGTGCCTTGGCAGAATTCCTGTGTTTCATGGCCGGTAATCCCAGAGGCTTGTATTTATCAAGTTCATGGTTAGTAAAAAGCTAACAGATTCCTGGTTCTTGTATTGTGGCTTTTAAAATTTTGCTCAAGTTCAGAGATTCTACTGACTGCTGTGTTTTTCTGTGGCTTTTTGACTTTGCATTTACCTTTCTTTTGTAACCAATTTTTCATCAATAAACAAGGATTGCTTTTCCTACAGTCCAGTGTGGTGGATTTAATCTTAGGGTCTCGTTCCTTGAACCTGGATGCAACAACCCCTTTGGGTTTTCTGGCTGATTAACCATTTGAACCCCTTGCTCTTCAGAGTCAACTGTAATCCAACAATCCTTTGATTCTTGTTATGTCCACTTCCTAAACTTTTCAACGCAAGCCATTCTGTTCAGATTTCATGATGAGGTTTTGCATTTTGGTTTAATATTTGCATTATCTGGGGATCCTTTGAGGGGTTAAGTAGGAACACTAGAGCCCTCTGATTTCCAACTCTACTTCCCTTTCCTTTGGCAGAATGATCCGGATCTGGATGGGCTTGCTGGCCACTGTGGTGATCCTGGTTGGACACGGAGAGGCTTGGAGCTGCAAGCCGGAGCTGCAAGGCCATTGTAAGAACAGCAAGGGGAGGTCTTTCTCAAAAGGGCTTGGTGATCTCCAGACCACTGGCCCTCTTGGTCACCACTGTCTGGACACCGTCCTTGAAGTGTGGTGCCCAAACTGGCCACTGACTCTTGGCTACCGTGTCACCATTTTCCCAGAGATTTAGTCCATTTCCCTTTTTCCCTGGATGTCTGAGCTGATCCTCTGCAGGTTGGAAATGTCCGGTATTCCAGATATTACCATTCTGCAGCTCCAAGCATTCCTCCACTGGCTCTGTGGGTAAGGCTGCTGGGAGCTGAAATTCAGGGACATTGGGGTTGGGGGTGGGATGTTACACAATGCCTATCCCAATGATATCCCATTGCATCATTGTGTTCTGTTAAGTGTTTAGCATAGTAGTAACTTATTGTCGAAGGCTTTCATGGCCGGAATCACTGGGTTGTTGTAGGTTTTTCCGGGCTATATGGCCATGTTCTGGAGGCAATTTTTCTCCTGACGTTTCGCCTGCATCTATGGCAAGCATCCTCAGAGGTATTGAGGTCTGTTGGAAGTAGGAAAAATTGGTTTATATATCTGTGGAATGAAATCTGGCTACCAGTATTAAAGGACTCAAAAATCACAACAGCAAAACAACAGAGGGGAAACAAACAGGCACAAAAAATCACTCTCAACAAGGGATTCCCCCCGGGCACTTCTAAGCCATTGAATGCTAATCAAGGTGAGCAACTGAAACATTCACATCTAGCCACAGCAAACAGTCCTTTGTCTCACCCTGGTCATTCCACAGATATATAAACCCATTTTTCCTACTTCCAACAGACTTCACTACCTCTGAGGATGCTTGCCATAGATGCAGGCGAAACGTCAGGAGAAAAATTGCCTCCAGAACATGGCCATATAGCCCGGAAAAACCTACAACAACCCATAGTAGCAACTGCCCAATCATTCAAAAACGATTCCCTGTTTTTGACCCAGTGTACCCATGCCTCCAAATTCCCATTTTCTCCTTAGAACAAAAATTCATGTGTGTGTATGTCTCTTGATTCCAAAATGATGAGAAGTGCACTGTCTCCATCTTGTTGCCCTTCTTCCCCCAGTTCGTAACTTGGCCAGAGGCCGCCCAGCCTTCCAGTCCTCTCTCTACCCACTCCATAATATTGGCTTGGCCAGCAAAGCTGTGGATGGGAATTGCAATGGGGACTGGTACAACATCAAGTCCTGCACCCACACCAACCGTGACTATGAGCCCTGGTGGTACGTGGACCTGGGAGAGGAATATGCCATTGCTACTGTGGTGGTGAAGAACCGGGGGGACTGCTGCGGAGAAAGACTCCAGGGAGCTCAGATCCGTGTGGGAAACTACGGGGGGAACAACTGCAAATCCAATTTCCAGTGAGTCCCTTCGCTTCCCTCTATGCTAGGCTTGGGCGGTTTCGTTCGTTAATTTCGTAATTCGTTATTAATTCGTATTTAAATTAGCTTATGATCCAATATTGAGCCATGCAGGAATAGTGTGAGGAGTAATTAAGATTCGAAACAATTTTTTCAATTTATTTCGTAATTATTTCGTAATTATTTCGTAATTATTTTCACATGTCTGGTGCAAGTTTTATAGTTGTTGTTTGTTTTATCACACCAACAGTCAACAACAGAGGGAGAGGGAAGCTTCAGAAGTTCCCCCTGTCCCATTTGGAGGTTTTTTTTTTTAGCATATTGCGTAATCGCGTCCGCCATTAACAAATCGATTCATAATTTTTCAAAATTTCGTATATTTCGAAATTTTTTAAAGGAAAATTTCGGAATTATTAAAAAAAACGAAACGCAAGGGCCCCCTAAAAACAAAACGAGTTTAGAACCAAATTTTTCCGTGGTTACCCAAGCCTACTCTATGCGTTGAATATCGCTCTGGCTGAACAACCAGGCTCACTTGATGCTTTCCCCATTGCAGTTATCTTCTGCATCCATGCTGGTGTTTCTTCCTTGATTTCCTTCAGCAATGCTCCACGGCTTTACTATTCCCTTCCATTATTCAACATACATGTGCAATAGGATTTGGCCTTTCTCTCTGTGTATATTTATTGCAGAATTTTGAGTACCACTTGCCTTCGAAATTAATGCACCGGTACTGTGGTTACTGCAATGCTTAGTGCCTCCTTTCCTTGTAATCGGAGTGTGTCCTGAGCATTTCAATTATATGAGTCAGTGTTTTGGGGATAGATTTTAGTTCGAACAGGAGAAGCTTCTGTCTCTTTACATCAGAGATATCAAATTCATCTCCACTGAGGGCTAACTCAGACTAATGGTAGCGTTTAAAGTGCTGATTGTAATTGTAAGACTATATAAATCAATGTAAATGTAAAACATGGCAGCCAGACTAATTACAGGAACATCCAGGACACCATGCTATTTTGAAAGCCAGAAAAAACATGACTGAGTTTGAAGCAATAACAGAAGTTTTTATTCATATAGGGCGAGAAGGCAGGATCATCAAGTTTGCAGATGACACCAAATTGGGAGGGATAGCCAGTACTCCAGAGGACAGGAGCAGGATTCAAAACGATCTTGACAGATTAGAGAGATGATGGGCCAAAACTAACAAAATGAAGTTCAACAGTGACAAATGCAAGATACTCCACTTTGGCAGGAAAAACGAAATGCAAAGAGACAGAATGGGGGACAATGCCTGGCTTGAGAGCAGTACGTGTGAAAAAGATCTTGGAGTCCTCGTGGACAACAAGTTAAACATGAGCCAGGAATGTGATGTGGCAGCAAAAAAAAGCCAATGGGATTTTGGCCTGCATCAAGAGGAGCCTAGTGTCTAGATCTAGGGAAGTCATGCTCCCCATGCTCTATTCTGCTTTGGTTAGACCACACCTGGAATATTGTGTCCAATTCTGGGCACCACAATTCAAGAGAGATATTGACACTAAGCTGGAATGTGTCCAGAGGAGGGCAAATGATCAAGGGTCTGGAGAACAAGCCCTATGAGGAGCGGCTTAAGAGCTGGGCATGTTTAGCCTGAAGAAGAGAAGGCTGAGGAGGAGACATGATAGCCATGTATAAATATGTGAGAGGAAGTCACAGGGAGGAGGGAGCAAGCTTGTTTTCTGCTTCCCTGGAGACTAGGATGCGGAACAATGGCTTCAAACTACAAGAAAGGAGATTCCGTCTGAACATTAGGAAGAACTTCCTGACTGTGAGAGCCGTTCAGCAGTGGAACTCTCTGCCCCGGAGTGTGGTGGAGGCTCCTTCTTTGGAAGCTTTTAAACAGAGGCTGGATGGCCATCTGTCGGGGGTGATTTGAATGCAATATTCCTGCTTCTTGGCAGAATGGGGTTGGACTGGATGGCCCATGAGGTCTCTTTCCAACTCTTTGATTCTATGATTCTATGCTTCTATGATTCATCTGGTCGGATGGATGACAGAACAGTGTGATCACTAAAAGAACTGACATAACTCATACACAAAAGTATAGCACATTTTGTAAAGTTTGGCAGCTATTCAAACCACCCACTTCCCCCTTTAGCTACTCAAGAGACATGCCTCCTAGGATCCGCTTTCTCTTTGGCTGAGATTTCCTTCTGACATCACGGACAGAGATGGAGAGGAAGAGAGAACAGCTGGGATTGGTTGTGTTCAAAAGTAAAGGTTTGTTGCTGTGTATAACAAACCACACTGCAAGGCTCATCAAAAATATAACAAAACAGAGAGGTGTAGTAAGAGATGCGTATTTTAATTAATGTATGAGAGATAGGAAAATATGTATAAAATAAATCCCAACTCTGCTCTGCTAAAATTGTAATCAAGCTCACAAATGGTAGGGGGAGTGTGGTTGCTGAACCAACTGTATCTTTTAATAAAATAAATCCCAACTCTGCTCTGCTAAAATTATAATCAAGCTCACAAATGGTAGAGGGAGTGTGGTTACTGAACCAACTGTATCTTTTAAAAGCTAGGAACTGGGAACCACTGGAACTGAGAGTCTTAAAATGAGTCTTCAAAAGATTTCCGCTGCCACCATTTCACTATTAATAATAAACAGGCTGAGGAAGTATTTGAGAGTTTGTTCTGTAACACACACTGTGTCACTGTAGTTTCTTAAAGGCTGTTGTGAAGCTGACTTCAAGAATTCTTTGACCACAAAGGTATGCACACTGAGGCTGGTATAAGTTGATGAAAATAACAAGAATGTTTATTGAACAGGCTTGAAATATTCAGGTACAAATGCTTAATGGTTTCAGTAAAATACTGGCATAAAAAGCTTGTGGTTGTGTTAGAGTCAAAAGATCTTAAAACTTCTGGGTTACAAGTCTTCAAAGTTCCACCACAGAAAATTACTTCAGGAAATGAATCTCTGAAAGTAACTCCCAAAAATGCCCCTTAGGAATCTAGCCAAAAACCCTGAACTAGACTTCCTTAGGAATTGAACAGACCACTAATGGGATACTGCTCCACAAAACAGTATTCTAGCTATCTACTCAATAGCTATTCTGAATACTACACAAAAGACTAACCCAATCTTCTTCAAACCCAAACCTCTCTCTGACTAACACCCACACTTCTTCTCTCTAACAGTTCCAAACTCCCACTGGCAAATTGGGACCTCAAGCCTCAGTTTAAAAGACACTTTTCCCTCTAAACCAGTTAGGCTCCGCCCCATCTTCTTAACCAATCCTAGCCTTCTTATTTTCCCTCTAAGACTTGAACACGCCCCCTCAAGGCAAACCTACCTAAAATGGCTTCTCCCTGTCTCCCTTTTCTAAGATGGATGAGGTGGCTTCGCCAGGCCCACTCCCTTAGGCTATCAGGCAGCTAGCTAAGGTAAGGGATTCATTACATTCCTCCCTGACCCAAGATGCTTTGCTGAATGAAGAGGTTTTCATTCCTCTTCTGAAGCAAAGGCCTAGCTCTACACTGTAAGCCTAACTAACAAAATTCTAACAAAACTGTTTACCTTCCCCACAGTACATGGTAAAAATACATTTGCAATAAAACATTTGCAACAATACATATTAGGCAATAAATACATTATATACACCAAATACATTCCTGAAAAACAGGTTAAATACAGTATACATTTATGCATATAAACGGTTTAGCTTTGATCTTTAAAGCCTTCCATTGTTTGGGTCCAGGTTTCCCGCAGGATGGCCTTTTCCCACATGATCCATGGCCTCTTTGAACCCTAAGGTCTTCTGGGAAGCGGCTAATCTAAGACACACGTTAAGAGCTTTCTCTCCCAGTAGGCTTACGCAGTCAATATTAATCTGCATTTTATCGGTAAATTTTAAGCAGCATTTAAGTGCATTTGCTATAAGTATTTTTATAGTGTATTGTTTTACCTCACTTACCATGTTGTACCCTGCCTTGAGCCACAAGGAGAGGCAGATAATAAATGATGATGATGCTGCCCTGGCATTGAGAGTCTTGTGGGCCACGTTAAATGACGTGGTAGGTCAAATTCAGCCCATGGGCCTTGAATTCGACACATGTGCGGATGATACACTTTTGACAGTCAGGAATCCAGACATTGTTTATATGCTTATATGTTTTATACTTTAACTAGCGGTCCCCTGCCACGCATTGCTGTGGCCCCCCCCCCCCAAAAAGGGTATATATTACTAGCTGTCCCCATTGCTGTGGCCCAGTCTGGTGATCTGGAAAATAAAGTAATGAGAAAGTGTTGGTTTCTAATATATGTAATGTCTTTCTGCTTGTGGGTCAACAGTATTTCTTGCTGTTTCTTTGCCAGTGTTGATGTCCGGTTTGCCTACTCTGGAACATACAACATATCACTGTCCTTCTTTAGGGGTCCCTTTCAAATCTTTGATACTGCATCTGTCATATACACATATGTGTGTGTGTGAATGGCTGGATGGCCCTTTGTCAGGAGGGCTTTGATTATGTTTTCTTGCCCTGGTGAAGGGAGTTGGATTGGATGGCCTTCAGGCAGCATTTCTCAACCTGGGGTTTGGGACCCCTTTGGGGGTTGCGAGGTGTCAGAAGAGTTGCCAAAGACCACCAGAAAATAACTTCTGTGTGGGAAGTTTGCCCCAATTCTGTCATTGGAGGGGTTCAGAATGCTCTGATTGTACGTGAACTATAAATCCCAGTAACTACAACTCCCAAATGTCAAGGTCTATTTCCCCCAAACTCCATCTGTGTTCATATTTGGGCATATGGATATTCGTGCCAAGTTTGGTCCAGATCCATCATTGTTTGAGTCCACAGTGCTCTCTGGATGTAGGTGAACTACAACTCCCAAAACTCAAGGTCAATGCCCACCAAACCCTTCTAAGTGTTTTCTGTTGGTCATAGGAGTCCTGTGTGCCAAGTTTGGTTCAATTCCATTATTGGTGGAGTTCAGAATGCTCTTTGATTATAGGTGAACTATAAATCCCAGCAACTACAACTCCCAAATGACAAAATCATATTTTTTGAGTGATGGTCACTCCTTGTGTTGTGAGATGTTTTGTTGCCAAATTTGGTGTGATTTCGTTCATTGGTTCTTTTGTTTTTAGGGTACTCATTACGCACAGAGCATTTTTATATATATAGATGCTATGTTGTTTATTTTATTGCAATTTGTATCCTATTGTAATAGAGCTGTTACCTTGGTATGTCATTTGCTCCCAATGATTCATTTCTCCCATGTGCTGTGAGGTTCATCTTCAAATTGTTCTTCCTCAAATGGCCCTTTGTCAGGAGAGCTTGACTCTTTCACCCTTTTAGCTCTTTTATATCTCTCTCCACTGCATTCTTTCCCTTCTACTTGGTCATGTAGTCCATTAATGATTTCTTCCTCCTGATTTCCCTCCTCCGTCCTCTCCCTGCAGCTGTGGGACCATCACAGACACCCGTGCAGGCTCCATCAGCACCATCAGCTGCTATGGGTTCAAGGGCCGCTACGTGAGCATCATCATCCCTAACCGAAGAGAATGGCTCCATGTCTGCGAGGTGGAAGTCTATGGCACCAAGGAGTACAGTCAGTGCTAAAAGAGTTCACCCGTGCAGATGGTGAAATCCATGATTGTGAGCAATAAACTTCCTCTGATCCAGCTTTGTTAGTCTGGCCTCTTACTGATCTTTGTATTTTAGTTATGTGGTATTTGCTTATAGTTCACATGTCACCACAAAAATGAGTTGTAAGCAAATACCACAACAAGAATTGAGAATTTACTTTAAAAGGGGGATTGTGCCGTCGCGCTTGGGGGCTATTAGTCTTAATGAAGGAGGGATGGACGTGGCACTTTTCCCCCAAGGGATTGCTTCTTGCCCTCCTTTAGGAAACTGGAACTCCCAAAAACCCAAAACGATGTAAATAGCTCAAAATAAGTTTTATTGATCACAAAGTCATTTCTTCAAAGCAATAAGCTGGAAAACTTTAGAGGGGTGAAGAAAAACATACTCTACAGTCTCAATTAGTCCTGGGTTCAAGGGGTTTGAAGCTGAGAAAAACTTTAGAGGGGTGAAGAAAAACATACTCTACAGTCTCAATTAGTCCTGGGTCCAAGGGGTTTGAAGAAGCTGAGAATCCTCACCAAGTTTCCTCTTTCCTCAATGGCTGTGAATGCCGGAGCAAACCACAACCCCAGTTCAGATGGCCTATGTCTTGAAGATTCAAAATCTTCCTCTGGTGCCAAAAGAACCGGCTTGAAGGCGCCTGGGTCTCCTCAATAATTGTCCAGGACGATCTGGACATAAAGCATGAGTTCCAGGGGTAAAAAACCTCAGAACTGGTGCTAAGAGGTAACTTAAATTAGGGTCTTTAAGAAACAAGTCTCTTACTCACGTCCATCTGGTATGAACTCTGAAGGCAGAATGAAGAAGGAAACCACTCCCCCCCCCTTCCAGGAAGAGGTGGAGCCAAACAGTACTGATTGACAGCTACAAGCAACCAATCCATACAACTGTGCATAAACATGGTAAAGGGGGCAGGATTAAGCATAATACAACAGTTTAAATCTTGCAACTAACAGTTCTATACATAGGTGGCGCCACTCGCGCCGTCACAGGGGAATTATCTGCACTTTCATCTGTGTGACTTGAAATTGCGAGTTGTCCAAGGCAAGAACTTACAAAGGATTAGAAGTGTGCAATTTACGAAAACCCCATCTCATTTTCCGTCCTGTTTTTGGCTAGGCTCCTATTCTGTTTTTTGGGAAGTTCCTGAAATCGGGAGGGGGAAAATACCATTTCTTGTATCCACAGCCTTAAGTTCCTTTTTCGCTTTGGGAAGATCCAGCCATTGGTTTCAATGTAGGAATTGGCAAGGCTCCTCTTTCCCTCATTTATGGCTATGTGGACAAAAATGGCCACATTTGGAGGACACATTTACCACTGCAAGCCCCCCAAGTTTCAGAATGTTTGGGTCATCCATTTTAGGATTTTTTAAAAAGGCTAGTGAGATTCAAAGAGGTGAACTAACAAGAAGGGCTGGTGGGGGGCTGCTAGGCTGATGCAGACACACATGAGCTAGAACATAAGTCTGGGGAGTGTATAGCAGAGACTGAGAGCCAAAGAAGTGAAAGGGAGAGGAGGAACTTAGTCTTGATAGACGCTGGAAAAGTTGGAGGGATGGGCGGTGGCGATCAGCTGTGGAAGCTAAGGCAGCTGTGAGTGATGAAGACAGGGTGGAGAGCACTTCGTCATCCGATAATGAGTTATAGGATAAAAGAAGGTATCAAACATTGGGGACTTTGCAGTAGGCAAAGTGTTGT